AGGGAAAGACGTTGTTCATTACTGACGGATAAAGTACTATTTTCCATTCTCATCATATTTATTTTGAAGCATAAATACTTCTGCAAAATTCTAGCTGTTTTGAAATCTTGAATTCTCAGCACATTTGGCAGAACCAGAAAGTGTTCCAGGAATACATTAAAAATACTGCATAACAATTACTTACTAAGTCATGCCTCTCACAGCATGCTAAAGGCTGCCATAACAAAACAGGCAGATGAAATGTCAAAAAAAAGCCCTTTGGCTCCCATTTGGCTCTCCCTTGCAGTGTGTCTCAGCAGACTATTCTGCCTTGGACGAGGCCTCCTCCTCACTTGTATCACTTTGTCAGTTCAGAGGGAAGTTCAGGAAATCAGAATGAGAGACACGACTAAACCAGATCTAACTTTTCTTACTGAATGCCATTTCCCTTCTGCTCCTGTCTTGTCTGTACAAGGTGATAAGCTACTGGGGACAATTTCTGTCTTCTCACCCAAATGGAGCAATCATTACAATATATATGCACTTACCCACACGCATACATCTACATAAAATCTTATGTATAGCTCTAGTGTGTGCAATAGTATTTACATTCTTTCTGTCTTACAGCTGAGCTCAGTTTCCCACACATCCTTAAAATTTATGGAGGTAGACCTAATGATAATCATCATCACTGTGTCCTGCTATAATGAATTTGGTTGCTTGTTCCTTGATGTGCAGGATGAAAACAATCTATAACTATGTTGACAGATTAATTTCTGTTCAGCTAAAACAATCCCCTGTAAGATGATACACTGTAAAGGCTCTTTTGCTCTCAAACCACAATCCTGTTTCATCAAATTTAATTTACGCAGTTGTGTAAAGTTTTCCCGCTCAGCAACAAAAATCACCTCATTCATTTCTAACTTGGATGAATCTGCAGAAAATTGTAAATAAGGTGCTTACCAGAAAAAAAAAATTAAAAAAATTAAAAATAATGAAAAATATGGCATTACATGATAAACTAAAATCACAACTTCAAAAAGGAATAAGGGATGCTGCTTGCTGTTTTCAAGGGATTCCTTTAAAAGCATCTTCATCGTTAAGCCTGGAAAGATGAATTTTAGTTTTCTACCTCTGATATATGTCTTGCATGACACACATATTTTCTAAGTTCACAATACAACAGTTTACTCGTCCCTTCACAAACAAAAGCTTTTGCCAGAGTAAGAATGAGTCTAGAAAGACAGGTACATCTCCCAATGTGCTTACCTTAAAATTAGCCAGCAAAATGGCATTTACAGACATTGTCAATGACAGATCATTCACAGGCCACTGAATGATGCATTTTTTTAAAGTATGCACTAAATTACACCTACTTGCTGTCGAATTTCTTCTTCCATCTTTACTGGGGATCCCAGCTCTGCAACTTGTTTGACACCTTCACTAGCATATCCTCCATACTCCCAAAGGATGTAGTTTTTTGAGTGTGAACTGCCAATGATCGCAGACCAGTGGTTGGTGCGTCCTTTGGGGAAGGAAAAACCAAAGAAAATCAACCATCAAGCCAGCCCCAAAGCATAATTCCTAACATTTTATTACAGTGAAAGTTTTGAAGTGTCCAGTCTTCACCAGCACCAAACTTTTGCATCTGTTACATGCTGTCAGTTCTCACTGCATCAACACACCATATGTTTAGAGTAAAAAGAACAAGCCAGTGAACTACAGAAATACAGCATACAATGTCAGGAACTATTTGATATAACAACAGAGGCAGAAAGGGTGAGAAAGATTGTATTCCAGCCAATCAAGCAGTGCTCCCAGACACACAGGCTTAATGTAATTTTTCTTCAGTGAATAATTCATGTCTTCAGGAACTTTAACAGTCCTTTAATTTTAGGTATCAACATAAATGTTTTTGAGGATGCAACCTGAAAGAGAAGACTTCAGTGGTCACTCAAAGGTTTAACAGCAAGCATTCCCTTACTGTGGGATACTGTTTTGTAATGTGTGTTTGAGTGGTGACAGCAGATTACCAGTGAAAGGGATAGATAAGTGTGATTACACTATCACTAAATGTTACAGATTTTCATTTATAGCTTTGTGCTCAAATGTCATCAGGCATAGAGCTATAAAGAGCTTGTAGCTAGAAACCTCCCCCAGCACCTTCCTGCT